TACCAAGTTATGTTTAAGTACAGCTTACCATCCGCAGACTGATGGTCAGAGTGAAAGAACGATACAAACACTTGAAGATATGCTGAGAGCATGTACCTTGGAATTCCTAGGTAATTGGGATGAACATTTACCTTGGTAGAATTTTCCTATAACAATAGTTTTCACTCGAGCATTAAGATGGCACCTTACCAAGCTTTGTATGGACAAAAGTGTCGTACGCCGTCTTGTTGGCTTGAGGCTGGGGAAAAGCAGTTTATGGGACCGGAGATGGTTCATCAAACTGCTGAAAAGTTGAAAATAATTAGGGAAAGAATGTTAGCAGCTCAGGATCGTCAAAAGAGCTATGCTGACAAAAAGCGAAGACCGATGACTTTTGAAGTTGGGGATTCGGTTTTGCTTAAAGTCTCGCCGTGGAAGGGACTTATAAGATTTGGTAAAAGGGGAAAGTTGAGTCCAAGGTTTATTGGACCGTTTAAAGTTCTTCAGAGGATTGGGAACCAAGCTTACAAGCTCGAATACCAGAAGAACTGAATGGAATTCACAACACTTTTCATGTGTGTTATTTGAGGAAGTTCACGGGAGAAGTTCCCGATATAATTCCAATTTCGAATTGAGAATTGATGAGAACAAAAGGTTGATTGAAGAACCAGAGGCAATTGTTGACCGAAAGACTAAGAAGTTGCGACAAGATGGTCGAGTTAGTGCTTGTCCGATGGAAACACACGAATGGGCCGAATCTCACCTGGGAGACGGAGAGTGACATGAGGAGTCGCTATCCGCATTTGTTTGTTGATGTGTGATTCCGGGGACGGAATCATTCTAAGGTGGAGAGAATTGTAACGCCTGTGTTTCCGGGCTTGCCATTTTTAGCAATGTAATGGTCTAGGTTAACCTTTGTAACCCGTTTTGAAATAATAAGATTGTATTATTTGAGTATTATGTGTTTGTGCTTAATTGCTTAATTATGTGGTTTGATTAATTAAGAATAAAAATAAGCGTCAAAATTTAAGTGTAAAATAAACTTGATATCTTTAGATAATGTTGTAGTAGTTGAAACAAGGTTTCCGAAGATATAAAGAATGCCGAAATCCGAGTTATAACGAGGAAGTTATGACCTGTCGAAGTTTCGCGACAGAACCGGCAACGCTGAATAACGTAAAAAGTGAAATTTACGTTAAAGCGATATTTAGCCTTAGTGATCTAAACGAGAATCGAAGATCTCGTTGTTAGTATCAAAGCGATAAAAAGTTAGGCGAGAACGGACGTCAAACGAAGAAGTTATGAATTTATAACGAAATTTCTGTCCCGGCCTATTAAAAATAAATAATAAAAATAAATCAAAATTAGCCGACGGAGTCTAAACGAAAGTTGTAGAGCGTAGTCTCACCTTTCCGTGGATATAAAGAACGTCGAAAACGGAGTTCGTATGAAGAAGATATGAATTTCCGAAGTTTATTAATTAATTTGTATTTATTTTTAATTAAAATTCGGAAGCATTATCCGAAGACGAGTCACAGCTCTGATCCGAGTACGCGCCGCGTACTCGAGTACGCCCCGCGTACAGCCAAAGTGTCGACACTTCGGATGACGCATGCGTGACGCATTTCGGAGCAGTACGCCTGCGTACTGCGTACGCCCCGCGTAAGAGGCTTCCAGCCTCCTATAAATAGGATGCGAGGGCCCGGCCATTGCTAATTTCCTCTCGTTTTTGTGCCGAAGCTCTGCGTTTTACCCCCGAAGCCATCCCGAAGCCCCGGTAATATTCCCGAGTCCCGAAGCGAGTCCCGAGATCCCGAAGATCCCGAGAAGTGCGGTTTCCGAGCCGAAGCTCTGCCCGCGAGAAGTTCGATTTTCGTAGAGATCTTCCAGATCTGCTGAGGATTACTACTTCTGCAAGTCGTAGTGCTGTCCGATCATCTTCTGATCAAGTGAGTGTATACTACCTTTCATAAACGCAATAATAATACAAGTATGGTTTGAGTGTATTAAGTTTATTGTCGTTTATACGTGTGAATGCGTTGTTACTTTCTCCTAACGTATAACTATGAAGTATTTTATACGAGATACGTGTTATGTGTATATTTTGTTGTTATGTGTGTGAATGTATATTCACTTTCTTCTATCTTACAGATATGATTATTTCTATATGAAATACGTGTTATGTGTGTGTGCCTCATCTGTTATATGGAAAATGTATTGATCAAGCATGCTATACAGGTTTTGAAAATATGTATAAAAATGTATGTTTTTATCTACTAATATGTTGGGTAGAACATGGGTAGATAGTTGGTGTGTAATAAACAGATGAGAGGCCTCGTTGTTGTTTTGATCCAGTCATCTAGCGGAATTTAGATGACGACCACGGACTTTTCTAGATAGTCAGTGGAACGCTAGCAGGCTCATAACCTGTAGGTGTTAATGAACTTGGGTGTTCATTCGCTGTATTCCATCCCCCTCATGGTTGCCTTATTTGACTTATATTGCTGAGGAAACCCCGCAGCATGTGTTGTCACCCCGATGAAAATATTCTTAGATTAGGTCCCTTGTGTTAGTTATTTTAGGGACGTAAAGTGAGAATAACGGGAATGGGTAACTGGGTTATTGTTGGTTGATAATAATTAATTTAATTATTTATTGTGGGTTGAAAACCCTATATGCTCACCAGGCTCCCAAGCCTGACCCACTCAGTTTTATTTGTATTACAGGAAGTGGCGCAAGGGCGTAAGATGGATGAACCATCAAGTTGTTTTGTTTACAAGTCTGTATATGTATATATTTGTTGAATGACTTGTAATATTATCGTTTATGCTTATTGATCTATATCGGAACATGACACCCCGAGTTTTGATTATATAATGAAAAATACATTTCTTTTATGAAATGCTTTGGTAAACATTGTTTTATCATGTTTTGTTTTTGGGAACAAATTCCGCAACTCTTTCAAATCAAAAGGATTTACTCTGAAAATATTTAAAAGCATAAATGAAAATTGGTCTTTTCTGGCCGAGATTTTGGGGATGTCACATTGTGGCTGCGTAATAATGCGATGATACCCTAACCCTTACTAGACACATATTGAGGGAGTGATCCCCGAATTAGTATTGTCTATGCGATGTAGGCCATGATCCTTAGGAAAAGTTCTTAGGAACAAACATATAAGGAAATAAGATGTAAGGAGATGAGAGGTAAATATGATATATGAGATGACCCTTAGGATAATATCTTTAGTGAAGATTAAACGAATATAATGGGGATGGGTAATTGGGTTGTTTGTTTGATGATTAAATATAATAATTATATTATTGTGGGTTGAAAATCCTATATGCTCACCAGGCTCCCAAGCCTGACCCACTCAGCTTTCTTTGCATTACAGGTAATGACACAAGGGTATAAGTTGATGGACTTGACGAGAGATTTTGGATTATAGATCAGTAGTTATAAATTACTGTTGTAAGGTCTATTTTATATTGTTTATGCTTTTGGTCTGTATCGGAACATGACATCCCGAGATTTTGTTATTTAATGAAAATACATTTCTTTAAGAAATGCTTTGATAAAATTTATTTTATCATATTTTATTTTGGGAACAAATTCCGCAACTCTTTTAATCAAATGATTACTCTGATTTTATAAAACAAAACATAAACAAATCGGTCTAATCTGGCCGTGAAATTGGAGATGTCATAGTATTCATTACACATTTTGGTGCAGATGGAAACACAAGAGTTGAGGGACTTTGGGCTTTAATCCAATCATCTGTCCAATACATTTCTTAATATTTCATAACATAGTTCAAATACATATAAGCCAATCTTATGTTCTTGGATGTTACTATTTAAATTAAATTCTTGGTTCATGATTTGGGTTTCTTTTGTGCTCTGTGTGTAGGTGTTGTTTGATTCATTTTGTGTGTATGTGTGTGTTTATGTATCTTATGTGCTCTTTTAATATAAGATGCTTATTTATCTTTATTACTTTAATGTATATTCTAAACTTGATGGTTAAGAATAACTCTTCTTTGATCTGGACTTTGTTTTCATGATTTTTCATTGATTCCTATCATTTTAAGGTTCATGCAACTGCTACATCCACTTCAGTACACATATTCCAGAAAGGGTAAAACAGAAAACACATAAATGTAATAAAAAATCTTTAGAAAACACATAAATGTAATAAAAAATCTTTAGTAGTGGAAGTGTAGTATTGTATTTATTTATTTATTTATTATAATTTTTTAAATTTTGTTAGCATTGTGTTGTGTCTTTAGTAGGGTGCAAAATAATGGGAGGGCATTTCTTGTGATATCAGTATCATTGTGGAAGAGAGCTACACTCTAAAAATTTATAGCAAGCTCTCACAAATTTTGTTCATCTTTATCTCATTTTAAGAAATTGATTTAATACAACACAATTTTGTTCTTATTTCGTTGTTGATATTATTATGTTATTACGAGAGTATAGCGATAACTTTTTTGTAGCCTTGCAAAAATCATATTCTCTTTATTTTCTGTTATTATGAGAGTATAGCAATAACTTTTTTGTAGCCTTGCAAAAATCATATTTTCTTTATTTTCTATTCATAATAATTTTTTTTAAAATGTAGATTTTAAAGATAGCTCACATCTTATATCTTCCCCAAATTGAAGTGTCTTATAAGTGTGGTGGGTTATGATTATATAGATGCAATTATATAGTTAGATAATTGAATGCTTGATGTTTAATTTTAAGGGTAAGTCGGGAATGATTTTTGAGATATATTGTTGCGTGATTAATAATTTTTTTTCAATTCTTTGATTAGTTATTATGATTTTGATTTATCGATCATATTTTTTTTTATTAACCGTGGTTTCTACGGATTTATACCTAGTAATGAATTTGTAGTCGTTTGTAAATTATTAATTATTATAAAAATCTGTTGTTTTTTATTGGGATAATTCTTGGGAGCTAAGGTTTTTTGAAAACGCGTATGAAGTCTCTTTTTGTACACCATAAAAAAGACAAAAGGAATCGCTCTTTTTCCTTGTCGTTCTCCGTTTTACTCCTCTCTGTAAATCCATACTCAATTTCCCATTTCCACCCGCGCGCAAACTGCCGAAAGTGAAAGATTACTCAATTTTGTTACCACACACAGACAGAGTTGGAAACATTAGAAGCGATCATGGTGAAGCTGACAGTCGTTGGAAGGGTGAATGACGGATTGCCCATTTCACGAGGGCCCTTATATGAAGAAGACGGCGACAATTCCATCTACAAGCAACATGCAGAGTTCTTGCTTCATGAAATCTCCATGGCGGCTTTGCCACCTTCCGCCACCACAATCCTCCTCCCTCACCACCATTGCTTCAAGTATGTAACACTGTAGCATTAGATAACCCCAATGCTGTTTTCTTTCCATTTTTTTTTTTTATATAAATTTGATCCATTTAAAGTAGAAAACATATTCTCGACAGTTCCCTATCCCTAATTTTAGTTTAATTTGTTGTGACAATTAACCGAAGCTATGTGGTGAAGAATGGGGTTTGCTTCATTACTTTGTGTGATGCTTTATATCCAAGGAAGCTTGCATTCCACTACCTTCAAGATTTGCAAAAGGAGTTTGACAAGATTGATCAAAACCTTGTTAAACAGATCACCAAACCATACAGCTTTATCAAATTCAGTAACCATTCCTCCATATTCCTGTTTAGTTCAAAAGAATTATGTTCTATTTGTTTCTGATCAATCTATTTTATGTTGCAGATAACATTATTTGCAATATCAGAAGACAATATATGGATACAAGAACTCAAGCAAACTTATCGAAGCTAAAGGCCAACCACAAACAAGAATTACATGTTCATACCGAACAAATGTCTCTAGTTGTTGAATGGCGGAGAAGATCAGGTAACATTAGTTCAACATGTAAAATAATGTATCTTCATATGTAAAGTTATGCACTAAAAGTGTGTTTTAATTATCACTGATAACCAAAATATTCACCTGCTGTTTTCAAACTCTCTGGTTTAATGTTGCTTTTGGTGATTTCTGAAGGCTTAAATTCTTCCCACTTTTTATTATCAGATATGCTGGAGAGAATGATGAAAGCACATAAAAGTGCTTTCTCAGTGTGGGGATCCGAGACTCTTGAGGTAAATATATATAGAATGGTTAATTGCACGAAATAGCAACGTACTTTCATTGTCTTGTTTATTATAGCATCATACTTTCATTTTGTCCTGTTACAATGCGATAATCATTGTGTTAGTAAAAAAATGATGGAAAGTACAATGCTGTAATAATAATAAACAAATAAACTAAGGAACTTTGTTATTTCTTGCATCTAGAGTCTATGTTTGACCAGTTTTGTGACCCTGTTGGAAAAATACTTTTTTTTTTTTATCATCCAAAATAGCTAGCTGTTAACTTAAAATTCACAGGTTATTGCAGTGAAATGGACACCGATTACAATCATCTTCATTGTTTCATTTGTTCTCTTATGGAGCAGCTTTAAACAATGAGAATCTGTAAATTCCATCCCTTAAATGACAAAAACAGTAAGCTTGGATGTGGAGCAACCATGAGAGAAGAATTTGTTTGTACATTATCAGCATGAATATATCTCAAGAAAATCAAAATATTGAGGATTTTGTCTCCAGAATATTGTTGTTGTGTATTTTGTGTATATGTTCAGTTAGTACTTGTAAATGTATTGGGTCATTCATTCATGATCCTGAGTTTTTAAGTCATTAGTTAACAAGTTTCCATAGAAGTAGTTCAAGAATTCTTTTATGTAATGCTTTTGAAAATCTTTCTAATTATAATGATAAAAAAAGACAGAGTAACACATTTAATTATAGAGGTGGAAGAATGTCAATGGTTTTATTATAATTCATGATCTAAAAACATTTCATAATCTAGAAACAATGACTTCCTGTCTGGAATCTCTTGAGGTAAACCCACCTATAAAATACAGTTGAAACCTTTATGTATATATAATCCTGGCCTGAAGCTTGACATCAGCTTTAATTAAAAATAAACATACGCATTTTTAACTTATTCCAGAAAGAATGCATTAATGATTTCTACTGTAAGACCCTGAAATTTATTTATGTGGAAGCACACAAAGTTACAGCATGGGGGAACAAAAGACAGACAATCTAGCTACAATTAGTTACAACTATACAATGTTACATCACTGCTGTTGAAGTTTTGAGAAATATTAACTTGAGAGATTAAATCAAAGAAATCACTTTCTTCATATTGATGCTCATATTTCAATTGCAAATGATCCATGGAATCCACAAAACCATAGGTTGATCCTACTTGTTGAATGCCAGATCCTTCATTCAGTAGTGCACCATTTGTGATTGTTTTTTGAGAACCAAAAGTACAACTACTCATGTCTTCCATTCCTGAAGTGTCAAACTTATGAAAGTGTTGGAGAGATAGCCATTCAGCAAATAGAATCTTGGGTAGATTTCTGCAAGCATCTGCTTCTGATGATTCAAGACTTGAATCTGTTCTTGTATAGCTGGAAGAAGATGGGGTTTGTTGATGAGATTTCATGTTTTCAAAGTTTACTGCTTTTTTCTTCATATGAGAATGCCAGTGGTTCTTTATCTCGTTATCAGTCCTTCCAGGCAAATGCTGTGACATCTGAGACCACCTGTCATGTGTTATTAATATACATATATATATATATATATATATATATATATATATATATATATATATATATATATATATATATTTATGTGATGATAACTGTAAAAAAAAAAAAAATGGTTTGGTTGCTTACTTATTGCCTAGCATGGCATGAAGAGAGAAAATGATATTCTCCTCGTGTGATGTGAATGTTCCTCGCTTTAATCCAGGCCTTAGATAATTAATCCATCTCAATCTGCAGCTCTTTCCATTCCTTTGCAAACCTAATATAATATAATATTAGTCAAGGAGAAAACTGTAAATTTACGATATGTTGATCCTATAGCTTCTACAGTTTCATGCATAGAAACAAACACCCACATTGAAAATAAAATCTAAAAAATTACTAACAGGCTCTTTTCTTTTCAATTAGATTAGTTACAAATATCAAAGAAACTGGCGACAAACTCAGGGAAATAGAAAGTAAAATAAGAGCTATAAAGTCAAAAAGGAAGTTTTATGATTATATTACCAGCATGAATGGGGACAGAAGTCCAGCAGGTAATACCATGGTTTATGATGTAATCTCTGAGCTTCTGATCTTCATCAGGTGACCATAACCCTCTCTTATGCTTGTGCTTTACCTTTGTCTTCTCTAATAACCTGCACCTCATTATGAAATGGGAATCTGATAAAACTGATATATGACTTTATGTGTGTTATATAATATAAAGAGAATTGGAGATTCCTTAGGATATAACTAAACTTATTAATTTATGAAGTTGGTAGACCACCTTTTACATTTTAATTAACCTAACAACTCAATGACAAGTCTAAAGGTTAATTAATCGATCTACATGCATGGAAAGTAAACACCACTACACCAGAACAAGATTTCGAACCAATATGAATATGCATTTATTAAACCATGATGCAGCTGAAGTTTGTTACCTCACAAGCAACACATGAATACGTAAAAAGTTACAGTAATTCTAATTGTATGTATTAATATGCTTAATTAGTTCTGATTGAGATTAAATAGCCAAGGCCATTGGTCAACAAATGACATATATAATAATTAAGAAGGTTGATTAAATCGTTAATCTATAACAACCATTACATGTGGCATGTGCTCTTTTTTTCTTCTGAAACAGGTAGCAGCCGCTCCAATAGGAAAACAAGTAAACGGATAGATTAGACTTTAGAGGGAGTAGAAGCGCTCTCTTTTTGAGTTTTGACCTGTTCTCCATGCGTCTGATTAATCAAATATAAAAAGAACATAAAACAACTTATACCAAAGTAATTTTCTGTCGATTCATAACGCTAAGTGTTGACCAGAACACTACATCCACATTGTTGATCTTTCAATTAAAGCACTTACCATGCAACCATCATTTACTTTTGCTTATTAAATATTGTAAGAAATATTGTTGTGTTTAAACAAGTGAAATCAAACGTTTTTTTTCTCTATATACAATAATTTATGTTTTATGTAGTAGTACAATGCAATATTTTAAAACACAAAATTATGATGTATGGAAAAAAAAAAATTTAAGTCTTTCAAAAATTTAAAAGAAAAAGATCATTCTACTTGAAAAAACGAACGAGAAATATACACAAACAAATTTGTAAAAAACTAGAACTTGATAAAAGTCTCATGTTCTAGAATTTCTTTATTAAATCATTCTTGTTGCTTCAAGAATAAAATTAAATTAGACAAAAAAAAACTCATGTACAACATACTAAATTTGACTTTTATCCATTAAATTCATTAAGTAGAAATAGAAAAAAAAAAATATATATAAACAACATTTTAGTTGAGTAACTAATGATAGGGACAAGCTCAGGCTTTTAACAACTTTCCTAATCGTGCCATGATAATAGTTATTATATCCAACTTACTATATCAAATTGTGTTCTAATCTTGTGGTCCTCGCAACTTAAGCAGAATGATTCTTGCATACGTGTAGTTCCCAGGTCATCATAAAGTGTCACTATCGTGCATGTTATTACAATATATATTATCTGCTACATCTATAACTTCCCATAATATAATATCATATAATCACCCTTTCCGATCTTTGTGTTGATTCATGAATCATGTGATCAATAACAAAACGCAACCTCATGATTGTACTTAATTTTCTACATACCATAGTCGCATTCGCATACACATCACAAGTATAGTTTAAGTTTAACCTGATCACAAATCCGACTTGCTTGCTTCATATATTATTTAATTCCCTGCTACATAAACGTTAAGTATAGTAAACCACTTTTTATAGAGTGTACACGAGACATTAAGTTGTTTAAACTATTAAATTACTAATCAATGATAAACATCTCTTAAGAGACGCCCACTTGATCATCAGCATCAACACACACACACACACACACGAGATTATGATTTTCTAGTCCTTTAGTATCAAATCATGAAGTTTATGTGTGAACCATGTTAAATTGAAATCTTGACAGCTGTTGCGGGATGGTGGATATGACAGGTCCATATCTCTGCATCCAAAACATAGATGAGATTAAGATTAACATCAGATAATTAACACAAAGTCACAAAGTAAAATAATCAATGAGAGATTAAGGAAATGAGGCTTACCTGAACGTTGTCATAAAGCTCAAACAATGGAACAGCAAGAAGTTTTAAATTTTTTGGCACTGCAAAGTACTCTCTTTCTGACAAGTGAACAAGGAAAAGTTTCTTACACTCCTGCATAAAATCAACCAAATCACATCACAATTAGCCTAGCCACAAACCATAATCATTTAAAAGCAAATAATGTGTAGATGCATTTATCCTATTCAAATCTCTTGTTACCTTGGGTTTGGTTATGTGTGGAGGGCAATACGGGTACATTATGGTCTCAAAATTAGGCCTCCACCACACAGCCACACACTCTCCTATCTGTAATTGCATTCCATTTACAAACCCATGAAAATCAAGAAAATTTTAAACTGTAATTTATTTTAAAAAAAAAAAGAAAAAAGATCTAAGCTCAAAAACCTGCCAATCAGGCTGAAGTCCAGTGGAATTAGCTGCAAGTTTGCTACACAGTTTCCTTTTCAACCCCTCGGTTTCTGCAAAAGTAAAAGAGAGTTATATATATTTTCATATGAAACAATCAAACAAATATAAAAATCATTATTATACCGTTTTCTCCTGGTTTCAAACGACCACCAGGTAGTTTGCAGAATGTGTTCCCAATTTGCAAAAGCAGAATATGAGGATGATTATGCTCCTGTACCTGTTCATTAACCCATTTACTTTACTCATTTTTCAATTTCATCATACAATCTGTCAAATGATTTTACTATATAATCATCATAAGAATCTACCATGAAGTAGCACCAAAGATTGTATCCTTTTTTCAAACTCAAGATATATAACTTTGCACCACCAAACAGGCTTGGGGCTTGCAAGTTAAACTAATCATACATCTATACATGTTTAAAGTTTGAACTTGAATCTAAACTGCTGTTACAAATTTATAATAAGCAACAAAACAAGGTATTTGTACATTAATTATGATATTACAAACAGTGAAAGTGTATTGAAGAAAAGATGGAAAGACCAGCAAGATTCCTTCAACGCTAGTCCTCATGCCTTCCTTCATATAGCTGTAAGAAAAAAAAAAAAAAAGAATATAATTTCAGTTTATAACTAAACAGTGCTCCAAAAACGATAAACAGTAAAAAAAAAATGTTTTGTTGTAAAATAGAAAGTTACATAGTATACTTATACAACTGGATGATAGTATACTTTCATGGACACATCATTAGCTCGAAAGGTAGGAACTCCTTTTTTAGGAGGTGTTTGGAAGTGTTGCAAAAACTGATTATAAGTTATTAGCTTTTTGACAAAACATATTCTGAATTCTTTAATTTTAAGGATCAAAATAATAAGATTTTGAAGCAAATATGAAGTCGCAGCAAAAAAATGTAAAATTGATATTTTGCTTTAAACAATTATTATTATTATCATCTAATTCTTGTACTTGAAGTTGCAATAATGACTTTGAAATCGCACATCCAAACACCCCCCCTAAATACAAGATTCAGTTTTAAACTTGGTATCAAAATTACTCTGTAGTGATTTAATGTCCTGACCCTAACATTTTCATGTAGAGAAGTTATCTACTACATAGTCCGCTTCATCCTTTTTCGACCTGAATAAAGTAACGGACTAATAGTAAAATAATTCCAAAAATGAAATCAAGAAAGTTCATTTCAGAATGAAGGAAGTATTCAAGGTGCCATTTCGAACTAGGGTTTTCATCAAAATATGTTGCCGGCCAGCTTCAATGCTTATAAAAAATGGAATTACAAAATTGAAGGGAGTAAGCTTCAAAAAAGAACGTACTTGAGTTTCATACGAGCCAGGCGGTCAGCGACGGAAGTGTCCTTCTCCATCTTCGGCTCCTTAGTGCCGAAGGTGTAGCTCGACAGTGGATACGTATTCACCACCGACGACGTAACCATCTTTACCTGAACTTTTTTTTTTCCCTAGCTACAATTTTCAGGTGAATTCTTGGATCGTCTGATGTAGTGGACAGATGGAAAGATGCGAAGATTTTTGAGGGATCGGGGTTTTCTGACGAAGCAAATCCTTGACTCCTTCAGAAGTTGGAGATATATACTAGGGGGAGTTCTCTAGAACTGCACTCTTTCTCATTTCTTCGTACGTGTCACGAAACCTCGTCTCTGCTCTTTCTTTTTCGAGAAAAGTAGAAAACTTCATAAATCACCCCTCTGCTATTTAAAAGTATGTCATATAGTTTCTAAGTTAAAAAATCTTTCACTTCGTTAGTTTGTTTAAGTCTTTGTGGTTACCACTTCCTCATTTTTTTTTTGTTTAAGTCTTATTTTATTAAAATAATCGAAGGATACTTCCATCATTTTACTACCACATGGATCATTTGTGATGTTTTAATTTATATATAAATATATATCATTTAATTTACAAAGGGTCCCACCCCTCTCTCTCTCTCACGTACACACACAATGAAAGGGTTGTTGATTTCAATTTCCCAAATAGAAACATGCTAAGATATGCAATCATCGTATATAAGAGCAATGTTTGATTGAAAAAGTCAAAATTGGACTTTGATTTCAACATAGAGGGGAAAGGGCAACTATACTTAGATTGAGAACAAAATATCATGAGAGGCTCACATCTGTAATGTTGGGTCTTAATATTGAAACAACTATTTGGGAGATACAAATTCTACTCCAGAACACCAAAATCCTCTTTCTTTAAAAAATTCTTTCTACATTACAACATCTAGATTCTACTCATCACAAATGTCTCAAAGAACCATTAACAAGTTACATCATTGATTAATCAACTACCAACATCATAACACATTAAAAAACAAGAATAATATGAAATCATGCATACATCTGATCCACAAGGAAATTTATCTTACCAAGTTTCTCCCACGAAATAGCTTCAGAGTTTCCACAATAATCATAGTAGCAGATAAACCCATAATTCATGTTAATGTTACAGAAATTATTAAAAGTACTAAACCATGATAATACAAAACAAGCTTAATACAATGATATTCTCATAGATCAGGCATCGTGATGAGGTAAAAACTAAAAACTCACTGGTTAGGACAATGGTCACCGAAAGAGAAGTCGTTCGTTGACGTAAAGTACAACAATCCACCAAGCTTAACAACATCAAGTGCACACTTGAAGAAACTGGAATCACTCCCAAACGAATCAACACCAATGAAATTGAAATAATCCATCTCTATATATCTCTTAGCCAAAACTCGATTCACAACTGAATGACTCACATATCTCTCAACCATTGAAAGCTGAAAACTTTCCAGTTCTTGAATTCAATAGGGACAAAATTGGAAACATATGTTGGTCGTATGTTGTTCTTGGAGAAATGAATCGGTCTTTCTTTTTAAATATTTGGAAAACACTTGACCAATATTTGGATGGAGAACCTATTCAGAGAAATCAGATTTGTTTGAGACACATTTATTTCACTGATTCAATCTCATCGAAGCAAACATAAATAAACCAGCACAAACCTAGAAATATTTAACTTTCTCTATGTTTTGATTTGGATGAAGTTTGAGAAGTATCGGTCAATTTGAAGGTGTATTTGGCAAAGTACAGGGAGATAGAAGGGGAAAATAACACGTTAGGAAGACAATGAGAAAAGGATGTGTGAATTATCGTGTAGATATGAAATCCTCACCCCCTCTATGTATTTTTCTTTCCCTTTCATTATCTAGGGTGAAGGGCACAACTTGAGATGATTGTGTGCTTCAGTTGAGTGTGTGAGGTTCTTACTGGTGATGTGAGAGAGAAAGAGAGAGAGATAAAGTGTGTGTGTAAGAGTAGGAGAATCGAACCCTTTGTAAATTAAATAATATATATATATATATACACACACACATATATATATATATATATATATATATATATATATATATATATATATTAAATAAGTTAAAACATCATAAATGGTCTATGTGTTAGTGAAATAACAAAAATACCCTTCGATTATTTTAATAAAAGAAGACTTGACGAACAAAAGATGTAACACCCCGTTTTCGCAATTCAATAGAATTCAATATAAACCGTTGTTTATAAAATTTAAAGTAGAGATATATTACTTTTTAGCCAAAGAAATTGTCAAAAACATGTAGGAAACATCGATACGATTTTTCATAGATATATAGAACTCTTGAATCTGACTTCGTATGAAGAAGTTATGATTCTTCGAAGTTTTTGCATACAACTCTATACGGCAAAGCAGGTCGTAAAATATGAATCAATGATAGATTGTTTATTAACCTAAGTAGTCTAAACGAAAGTCATAGTAGCCATAAAGGCGAAACCATGCATATAGAGAACGTTTAAATCTAACTTCTTATGAGGAAGTTATGATTTTTATTAGTTTTAGCACATCAGTATGCGACACAGAAATCGAAATAGAAATCGGTTGATTATTAGCCAAAAAAATCTAAATGAGAGTTGAAGATCTCATAGATACAATTTCATCGATATAAAGACAGTTGAGAATAGATGGCGTATGAAAAAGTTATGATTTTTATATGGACTTTAACAGTCTAAACCTGTTAAAAATATAACTTTAAATAAAGTGAGAATTAGCCGATAGAGTGCAAATGAAAGTCGTAGATATATACGTATGGAGAAAATATGATTTTTCAAAAAATATGAAATTCGCACGCGCAGCTACTAGAAGCAGACGAGGTGGACAAGAACAAAGGTGATACATGTCAGCAAGAGGATGGCCACGTCACCGAGCACGACACCCCCTCCTAAAAAATATATATATGCTCGTTTTTTATCCATTTCTCCACACAATTCAATACCAAAACTTATGAAATCACTTTCGCACCCTAGCACATATACTCCTTAGTTTTCGACTACTTAAGCGAGGCCCTGAGGCATTAGAGAGCCAAGAAAATAGAAGCTCCCGGATCAGATTACTGCCCACATAATTACCGGTTTTCACTACAAACTCTTTGTAAGTTAGGCTACACTTACTATGCTTCAACTGTAGCTTATATTTATATTCATATTCGTTAGCATGAATGTGTAAATATGATTTATCAATAATTCCAATCATAATATAGATTGATCTACTTACGGGATAGTAGTTTAGAATGGTCACGTTGGCTTGGTTGTTGGATTTCAGAATGACTATATGTCGAAATGGTCAAACCTCTCAAATTTCCTGACTGGCTAATCCTTATTTGATTGAACTCTCAATATCCATTGGGATTAGTGAAAGTTCTTGCTTTCGATACCAAATTGTCATAAGGATTAATAAGTTATAGTATTATAGGTTAATATTTGTTAAGTGCGTTAACAACCAGTTGGATCGCATAGATAGTTGTCAATCATCTAAATAGTTGTCCATATGAGTTTTCTCACTATGTTGTATAATCCAGTATGTATCATCTGTATGTTAGGATATAGTTGTCATGTAGTATGTAATTAGGCTAGTAATGTTAATTTTCCTGTAGTGTTGGATTATCACTTGTTATATATATATATATATATATATATATATATATATATATATATATGTGTGTGTGTGTGTGTGTGTGTTGATATAGTTGTCATGTAGTATGCAACATCATGGACCTACACCATAGTGCCTTTGATGATAATTGGGGACATTTAAGGCTACGACATGCATAGCCCGAATTAAGCCCCGCGTAGTAAAGCTACTTGCCAACTTTTCATTAAGATCTTAATGCCTTAAGATTAACCATTCAACTCTCATATATGAATCTAATAAACATACTAAGTGATAAAGTCTCATAATTTATGCCTTTACATGGCGTAAATGAGTATACTATCAAACCGTAAGTCTGAAGCACACTCCAATGCTCAAAGGCTCATGCATGGATGGATGGGAGTGACCAAGCTCCTATTTTTATGACTCAACAATCTTAGAAATGACCATAAATGATACTTATGGGATCTGGAGTAGCTTATACTCATTAAGGCCATAGTTAAGGGGAAAAAACACATAAAAACCCATAAACTATCTAGATCTATCAAAGGAATCATCAAGATATAAGCTTCGTACCTCTTGTTGAATGTTGAAGAAGGGCAAGGTCTAGATCTACAAGCTTGAAGCTCACAAATGTCTCTCTAATGGACCCTTTCTTCATAAAATGCACACAAAACCACACTTAAGGATCCAAACTCAAACACAGAGCTAATTATGGGGAGGGCCTCAATGATTTTAGGCCTTTAAATAGCCTCATAACCCCTAAAATTATGGTTTTAGATCTAGTGTCCTACGTCGTGCGTTATGCCCCACGTAGGGCATTAAGTCCCCGTATCCATTTTCCTTCCTACGTCGTGCATACGAGACTATCTTACGCCTTGCGTAAGACCATACTTCCTAAAGTTTAAAGCTTTTAAATGATAATAATAATAATAATAATAATAATAATAATAATAATAATAATAATAATAAAAGAACATACCTTAAGATATATGTGTTACACATGGCTTTATCGTTGATCTAAATCAACCATAAGTAGACATTTTCATAGAGTTTTGAATTCAATTATATCAATAGAAGACCAATATATTATTCAAACCTACTAGTGATATGTTTCATAAACAAATTCAAGCAAAAAGGAGGTTTTATACGTTTTTTAAGGATTGTGTAGGGGAAATTGATGAAACACATGTTCTTGTCAAAGTGCCAAGTAAAGATGCCCCTAGATATTGTGGTCGTATAATGTATCCAACAATAAATGCATTTGTCACGTGTACTTTCAATTTTAAGTTCACATATATATTGAGTGGACGGGAAGCCACATCACCCGATTCAAGAGTACTGGAAGACGCACTAACTAGAGAAGATAAACTAATCATTCCAGACGGTAATTTGTTTAGAAAAGTTGGTATTATTAAAATTAATTTGGCATGACACTAACTTTTCTTGTTTATAGGTAAGTTTTATTTAGTTGATGGAGGTCTTCCCTTTAAACATACACTCATACCTCGTTACAAAGGCGTTAGATATCACTTGAAGGAGTATGCGACTCACGCACCTCAAAATCCTTGTGAATTGTTTAACCTTCGTCACGCATCATTGTAGAACTCCATTAACCGAGCCATTGGTGTCTTAAAGAGACGATTTACTACAATTAGAAGCAAAACTGAGCCATTTTACTCTGTGAAACCCAATCCT